GCCGGGTTGGTCCAGTAGCGCCCAGAGCGGCGCTACGGGACCAACCGGCAGCGCCCCAGCTGCTGTACCACAGGCGTCCGGAGCAAAGCCGCGGAGCACGGGGGCAGCGGGACAGCCCAGACGCGCCGTGGCTGTCCTGCTGCCCTCGGGCTCCGTGGCTTTGCTCTGCTTTGCTCCCCGTCCCCCTGGTCTGCAGACCAGGGGGACAGGGAGCAAAGCGGCGGAACATGCGGGCAGCGGATAGCCCAGACGCGTGCTCTCCCTGATCTGCTGGAGACCAGGGAGAGAGAGGGCCCCGTTCGTAACTGCGGATCTGACGTAAGTCGGATCCGCGTAACTTGGGGACTGCCTGTATAACGAGACACCCCCCCCCCATTGTGGCCAAGATAAAGGAAATGAACAATGTAGAACGTTTTGGTTTAACACAGGAATCATTCTTCTAAGGAAGCATTGAAGACTCACTGAAGCCTCTAATAAAAACAAAGCAATATATAATAAAAACAAAATGTAGTAGCCCCTGCTACCCACCACATGGAAGTCCAGGGTATTATTATAGGTCCTCAGTCATCAATGTTAAAATATCCAGACTCATTTCTTGCAATTTTTCTTTTAGGTCTCCTAAATGAATAAAGCATGTGTTAATATCATTTAAGTTTTACATAGGACAACATGAACATTCAGAGTAAGTGCCTTTGGTTCCTAACTATTTAATTATTTTATAGGCAAATTAAGGTGCAAGCTAGGTAAAAGGAGGCTGTTAACTGAACTAGATCATTCTGTTTAAAAAGGGACCGATGTCCAGTGCCTGTTGGCCTTTATGCTCAACAATGGTGTGAACTAAGTCAACAGTTATTAATGATTTTAACCCTAGGTTTACTGGCTGAGCCCTAACCCAGGAGATTCTCCAACTTGTTTCTTATGCTGCTTTCTTCATGCCTGTAGTCATTTATCTTTCTTCCCCTCTCCCTCCTGCCAGTGCCCAGCTGGCAGCTGCTTCTCTCCAGCTGCTCAGCTCTGAAGGCAGAGCAGAGAGCAGCAGCTGCTGGCCAGGTGCCCAGCTCCAAAAGGCAGCGCTGCCACCAGCACTGCAGAAGTCAGAGTAGCAATATCATGTCACCATGCCCATAGACAGGGAGGGCAAAGGGGAAGTTGCCCCAGGGCCACGAGATTCAAAGGGGCCCACGGTTCTTGACCACTGCTACTGCAGCAGCAGTGGCACCCAGAACCCGAGGCCCTTTGAATCACTGCTGGAGCACCATGCTGCACGCTCTGGCTGGCTATGAGGGCTGGGGGGAGGCTGCCCCAAGGAGAGGACAACCCCAGCCCTCTCTCACTGCAGCAGCTTGGGCCCGGGTGAGAAGTGCCTCCCCATGGCCTCTGCAGCTCCAATGGGCACAGCCAGGGGAGAGATGCATGTCCCTGAGCTGGAGTAAGTCCAGGTTCATCTGCCCCCTGTGCTCCCCAGCCAGTGTGCGTGCTGCAAGCTGGAATGGAGCAAACTGTGCATATTCATGGTGGAAGGGCATAACACGTGGGACTCTGCAGGGGTCTGTTTTGGGACTGGTTCTGTTCAATATCTTCATCAATGATTTAGATCAGTGTTTCTTAAACTTTTTAAGACCGAGAAACACCAAACAATAATTTTTTTTTATGACAAGCACCAAGGATTTTTTGTTGAGGAGAAAAAAAAAAGTTGGGGGGAAGTTATTGAGAAAAAAAAAAAAAAAAAAAAAAAAGGGCCCCGCCCCCTTTTGG